CGACGTCGGGGACTGCAGAAGGTCGCAAGGACACGGAATATGAAAGGAAGAAAGAGAAAGAGAGAGAAAGAGAGGGAGAGAGAGAGAGAGAGACAGACAGACAGAGAGCGAAGGAGAGAGAGAGAGAGAGAAAAAAAAAAAAAAAAAAAAGAGATGGAGAGAGAGAGAGAGAGAGAAGACAGAGAGAGAGATAGAGAGGCAGAGAGAGGAAATGGAGAGGAGGCGAGCTTGAGTCAACGAAAGTCGCAGGGAAGGGGGCAGGGGAAAGAAGGCCAGAGAGCGCTGAAGGATACAAATACTGGAACCCTCTTGGGATTTTTTGGGGGGCCTCGTCCGGCCGCTCGCTGGGAGTTTGACGTAGCTTCTTGGGAGCCTCTGAACCTGTCGGGGGCCTCCTGGAAGCAGGTTCGAAGCATTTGGGGGGCCGATTTGGGGCTTCTCGGGGCCTCCTTTGGGCCTCTTGGGGGTCTCCTGGGGCCTCTTGAGGGGCCTCCTGGGGGCCTCCTGGCGGCCTCTTGGGGCGGAAGGCTCGAGCTTGCGGTTCGTGGTCCCCCTCTGGGCCCCCTCTTGGGCCCGTCTTGGGGCCCTCTTGGGCCATCTTGGGCGCCTCTTGGGCCGTCTTGGGGCCCTCTTGGGCTGTCCTGGGGCCCTCTTGGAAGCTTCTTGGGCCGTCTTGGGGCGGTCTTGGGCGCCTCTTGGGCCGTCCTGTAACGTCGGAAAGCCCAAAAGGCAACTTTGTTGAAAATGTACGTTTTACGAAGGGAATGGGCAATTTTTTGCGTCTAGGGGCCCTCTTGGGACGCATGTTGGAGGCTTCTTGGGGCCTCTTGGGGGCGTCCTTGGACGTCTGGAGGCCATCTTCAGCATCTCGGAACCCTCTTGGAGGCCTCTTGGAAATTTCTTGGGCCGTCTTGGGCGCTTCTGGGGCCCTCTTGTCTGACCGGGGAGGCCTCCAGCAAGCCCCGACGAGCCTCCGGGCCCCCCGGAGCCCACATTTGCGGTCGAGGTCCCGGCCCCGGGCCCCCGGACCCGGTCCCCCGTTATATGTATATTCTTTGGTGGGCAGGCAGGTCAGGGCGCTTTGCCACTGTTCGAGAGGCGGGACCCCTACCTCCCAACATCCCCGCCCGCTGCCCAGGCAGCACACACCTAGTGTCCCGGACGACACTCTCCAGCTTCACCTTGGTCTCCGTGCTCTCGGTCAGCTCCTTCTTTAGGTTGTCGACCTGTGCTCTTCGAGGGGGGGGGGAAGGGACGAGGAAGGACAAGGAGGAGGACGAGGTCGAGGATGACAAGGAGGATCCGGGGCTCGTTTTGCCAAAAATGCAATGCCTTTGGAACGGTTGGCCGGGCCAGCCAGCCTTGTCCAAGCTGGTGTTCCGTTTCTGCTCCACAGAGGACCTGCCAGGCAAGGGGGAGGCCCCGTACACTGACCACACACTATGTATACAATGCCTGTGAGCACCAGATACCCTCATAAGATGTACCAAAACATTGCTGTACCGTTTGGGCAAATCTGTTCCACTGGATTCAAGATAGGTCTTACCGTGTGAGACACCTCAAAAGGGTTCCTCATGATTGCGGCTTGTGGCGCCAGTGGGGAGACTGCTTGCGCCAGAACTGGACTTGATGAGGAAGCCATCAGTTCTCGGCAGCAGCAACAACGTTCGACCTTACCTTCCCCTCGCTCCCCTCTCTGTCTCCCTGCGCCTCCAACATCCCAGCGTCCCCTCCATCACTCCCTCGTCTCTACCACCTAGCTCCCCTGCTTCACCATCTTCCCCTCTCCCATCCCCCCTTCCCCCCTCCACCTTCCTCCTCCCAACAGCCCATCCTTCCATGCCTCCCAATCTCCCTCTTTACAGGTTGACGGTATTCCACACACAGTCTCTCTATCTCTCTCTCTCTCTCTCTCCCTCTTCCAAACCCCACACGCCCTCCTCCGGCATCATGCCTCCTTGTTTATGTTCGTTCTCTCTCTCTCTCTCGCTCTCTCTTCTTTCTTTTTTGTTTCTCTCTCTCTCTCTCTTTCTCTCTTTTTCTTTATGTCTCTCTCTCTCTCTCTTTCTCTCCCTGTATCTTTCTCTCTGACTCCACGCTGTCACGGACGCCATCCTCCTCACCCTGTGCTACGACGAGGTTCGCGTGCTCCTCCGCCTCCTCCTCCTCCACCTTCTGTGCGCTCCACTTTGTGCTCTCCTTCGTGGGCTCGCCTGGCCAGCACTCGTTACTCGAAGAGCTTGGAAGCTGGCGCCCGCCGCGGGCGCGGGGCCACTGGAACACCCGGGGCGCGCAGGACCACTGGAATACCCCCGGCCCTCGCGGCCCCCACTGCCCCCGACGGCCGCCGCTCTCACCAGGCCGTCGCGCCATCTCACTCTGGGCGCTTGCCGCCTACCTGATCCACCCCACCTCGGTTACCGACCTCCGACCCGCCCTGGGACCCCAGAGGGGCTGCGGAAGAAGGCCCCTCCCTGGGCCGACACGCTGACAGCGGACCGGTGCCTCGAGCTACGTGCGCGAGAAGCGCGACGCCCTGCGACGTGCCCTGCCTGGGACCACGCGACTAACTCTGGCATACGGCTTCTACGCCCTCACTTCCTGCCTTGACGACATCCTCGGCGCAAGCCATGGCGCTACGGGCGTGATGGTCATGCACGCCTTTTCCCGACGCCTCACCACGGAAGCGGGCGACGCCCGTCACTGACGCCTGTTCTGGCTTGACGCCTTCAACCACTCCTGGTGCCTGCCGTGCCACGAGGACGACGTCTTCGTCCGACCCTGTACTCCGACGCCGTTCTTCAGACTGACCAGCGGCTTGCTGCCCTTGGGGGCATAAAGCCTATGCTACATGCTGCCCGTCGACGCAGCTGCCATGACCACCGTTTCCACTACCGTCCTCCTTCTGCCCCTTTCGAGCGTGCGCCACCAAGTGCAGTACCCGCTCAGTGCCAGGACCAGTCTACACGGGATATGGCAAACGTCGTCGTGTACCAGCCCCTGGAGATTCCCCCGTCTGCAGGCTGCGACCAGGGGCCCGGCGTCCTTTCGCATTGAGGCTTTCGGTCCCCCACGGGGGGTGCAACCCCCCTCGCGCACCGATGTGTGGCAGGGCCTCTTCGCCTCCCATGTTCCTGCCTGGCCCCCTCGCTTGCGGTGCCTATTGGTGCCGCCAGCGTGGGGCCGGGCGGAGCCGGGGGCGGCCGTGCTTGCACGGCCGCTGGTTCTCGGGTCCTGTCGCCCTCGGCCCCCCGTTGGGTGGGGCAGTTTGCACCTGTGTCCGCCCTACTTTTCCGCAGCGTCGAGGGGCGCACGCCAAAGCGCGCTAAAAGCCAGCACGGGCGCGCAGAGGGAGCGTGTCACGCCCCCATCGCCACGCCCTGAAAGTGTTTCCGGTCGGGGTCTCTTTGACCACGCCAGGGTGGAGGACTTCTTCCACCCCTGCAAATTATTTGCGGCCCTTACAGCCAAAGAGGTGCGGTAACTATGCGCTTGTATCCCTCGCCCGTGGACCAGGCCTTGGTCCGAAGTGTTGCCCTCGCTGTATTTCTCTCTCTCTCTCTCTCTCTCTGCCGTCTCTCCATTGCCTCCCATCCTCCCTTCCCCTCTTCTCCCGCCCTCCTTCGCCCCTCTGGTTGTCGCCATTCTCTCCCTTCTCCTCGACCCTCCGTCCCTTCCCTGATCGCCCCCTCCGACATGGTTCACCCTCCCTCCTCCTCCCTCCCCCTCCCCCTCCTTCTCGCCCTTCCCCTCTTGCTGTGGTCGACCCTCCCTTCGCCCGCCGGTGCCGCCCAGTCCCGCCAGGCGCCAGTTGGAGGCCTCGCTTGCCACACCTGCCTCCCAGAGACCGGTGTCGCCCCCCACGGGGGGGGGGGACGGGGGATCGGCGTGCAACGCTCCATGTGGGACTCGTCTTCGTCTTCGCCAGCGCCTCGCTGGGATGCGGAGTGTGCCTCCGCCTCCTCCTCCGCCTCCTCCTCCTCCTCCGCCTCCTCCGCCTCCTCCTCCTCCTCCTCCGCCTCCTCCTCCTCCTCCTCCTCCTCCTCCTCCTCCTCCTCCTCCTCCTCCTCCTCCTCCTCCTCCTCCTCCTCCTCCTCCTCCTCGGTGCATGCGCAATTCGGCCCTGCTGGCCTTTGCAAGAGGAGGAGGAGGAGGAGGAGGAGGCGGAGGAGGAGGAGGAGGAGGAGGAGAGGAAACGCTCCCTCTCCAGACACCTGGCGTCGTGTTTCGACGACGTGGGCCTTGGGAGGACCTCGCGGCCCGTCCCTGGGGCTGGGCTGTCCTTCGCCGGTCGCCCGATAGTCTTGGAGCCAGTCGAGGGGGCAGAAGCGGGGAGCGAGAGGGCATGAAGACGGATGGGGGAGCTCCGACCCCTGTCCTCGCTGACAGGCCGCATCGCGTCACACAAACGTCCACCTCCAATACACGTGGTGCTCTCCGGCAGCGGGAGTCTTCCGCAGAAGGGGCCGCCCTCATCTAATCACTCATGTTCCCTCTCCTCTCCTCCTCGTCTCCCCCCCCCTTCGGGAGACGACAGCAGGCCCACCCACCCAGCCTCCCGCCCCCACCTCTGACTTGCAACGACGCGCCGAGCAACGAAGACGCGCGCGACCGGCGGCAGCGCCTTTTCCTGGCTTCTTGGTGGAGGTCGCGAGCGCGGACGCGTGTCGCTCAGAGCACGATCGCCGGGGGTTGCCACAGGTGCTCCTGTCCCAAGGTGTCCCCCACCTTCCCCGCCATGTTGGAGCGCCTGGGACATCTGGGCCTCGCGACTTGGTGCTCTGGAGGCCGTCCCGGTCTCCCTGTGAAAACAGGGGCCGCCTTGGGCCAGGGCCACCTCCGCCAGCACCCGGGATAGAGACTCCACACTCTCGAGGGAACCCGCCCCGCAGCCACTACTTAAGCACTAAGCATAGGCTACAAAGGGCCATCAACATGCACTCAGCCCGCCGTGGGCTGCCAGTGCGATGCACACGAGAGAAAAAACGATCGGTCCAGCTCTATTGTATGTCCTGCGACATGGGCTCCGCCGGGCCGCTCGGGCGACCACCAATCCCTCGCCCCACCGTGCTCCAATGGCAAGGCAGATCCCAGAGGGAGTCCAAGCTGACCTTTCCAATTGAAGAAGAACTGCTGCATAAGCGTAAACGTTCGAAGGGTCCGCGCAGATTTCTTGGATCGGCGCTGGATGCCCCTGCATGGCGCGCGGAGAGCGCCAGCGGCCGGGCCAGAGGCTCCGCCATGGGGTCCGACGCAGATCCATAAAATTCAAAGGAAATCTACGTCTGACACAATTGGTTGGCGGCGAGCGAGGGGGGGACATGATGAGAAGAAGGCCTTCTCAGAAGGCGGCGGGACGTCTCAGACACTCTCGCGCCTTCTGAAAAAGTTTCTGTGCCTTCGAGGATGGCTCAGAAACTTCTCAGAAGGCTGGGGGACTTCCGAGCCTTCTGATAAGGCCCGCCCCTTCTCACTTACCTCCCTCGCTCGCCGCCGAATTGGTCGTTCACCTTCAGAGCCAGGCCTGCTGCGGATCGAATCGCGAAATCGAAATTGGAACGCTTCGGACCATCATCGGAACGTCCTGGATGGAATCGGCATCGGCGTGTGCTGGCGGGCACTGGCCGGTGCGCCGGCGAAGCGAGCCGAACAGAATCGAATCGGCGTCGTGGCCCCAGCCAGCGAATCGAATCGAACCGGCGTGCATCGTCGCATCGGATCGTAGCCCAGACATGATCGCGTCGTGGAAAAATCAACACGGGAAGTCTTTGACGATTTTTTCTGCCTCAGGGCGCCCTCGCCGGTCCTCGGGACCGTCCAAAAAAGACGACTCCGAGTGAAAAACCGGTCCCGGGGAACGGGTCGGGACTTCTGGGGACCGCGTGTCGACAAAAGCAGGGCGTCGCGTGTCTGGGTACCGAGTGGCATCGCACCGTCGCGTCGGATCGCAGGCGGGCCGTCCAGCCCAGGCCCTCGACGTCACGTTTTTTTTCACCGCGTCGATTTTCAGAGGGCTCGATTCCCCTTCCCGGGGACGCTTTTCGTTTCACACCGAGTCGTCTGTGGACAGTCTCCTGGGGCTGGGCGAAGGCCCCCCCAGAGGCACAGAACAGCAACAGCAGTGCTCCTGGCGTCGCGCGGCTTCGCATCGGGCGATGTTGCGCATCGGCGAGCCCGAGAATACCCTCACGAATCGATCCGACCGACACATGAATCAGAAAGATGGGGTCCGGGGCTCTGGCGGAGGTTGCTTCAGTGTTGCCACGGTGTCGTGACGCTGGGTCGCATGGCCCCCAAAGAAGGACAGCAGAAACAATATCAGTGACACGCCGCCGTAGGGAGGGACCCATCAGCTCGCTATCGCTGAAGAGACATCATAGCCAGACATCCATGCAACAGAACTTGAGCAGGGACCGACCGTTCCGGCATTCCTATGGTCCTACCACGAAATGTTCTTAGAACCCCAAAATGTTCTAAGAACCCAAACAACGTTCTTAGAACATAAACCCGATGTGTTAAACCAAGCCAGTCCCAACCAGAAATGTTCTAAGAACATTCCGTGGGAACCACAACATCTTCTTAGAACGTTGTTTGGTAGACTATAGGCGAGCCAGGACGCTTCGCCAATGCTTGAAGAACAACGCGTTGGTGGTCTCCCAACGGCGGCGTGTCACTGATATGCCTGCTCCCTCCCTCCGTGAGGAGCAACGGTAAAGGGGGCCAGCTACAGTCAACCCGTTGAACAACGATGCGCGGTAAGGATGGAAGGACCTTGGAGGGCCACGTTGGCACTTTCCGAACGAGGTTGGCAGGCGAGAATCGCTGAGGATGGGCCGGAGGGGCAAGCATGTAAGGGTACCCTTTGGAAGATGTCCCCTCCTTACTATGTGAGCTGACTAGGTGGGGGGGGCATCGACCTGGAATCGGCGATGCGTTGGCGATCGATCGGCGACAGGCCCTCGATACGCCGCAGGCTCTGGGACGGGGCTGGGCTTTCGGGCCCCTATCGTTAGGTCGGGCATGCCCCCCTGCAGGCGGATCTTGACCGAGAGTTGAAAGCACGGCCAAAACAGATTCAAACATAGCCCACAAATAATAGAAACATCAGCCCCATGCTATTGTTGGACTGCTCTTGGACAGCCCCTCTGTAGAAGGACATGCCCGACTTAACCCTGTCGGCGCTCGGTGGGCGAGTGTCGGTCGACGCGTCTCCCCCCCCCCGAGCCCATCCTTGAAGGGGCCAAGGGACACACAAATAAATACACACTAATAAAACTATTCCACATCTTTTCCTATACTTCAGAGATTTTCGTCTTCCCTCCCACTTTCCATATTTTCATAATTTTTCTGGGGAGTCGACGATTAATTGTGTCTGTGTGTTTCTTTCCCTCCTGAATTTCTGGAGGGCAGGAGCAGAAGCACAATCGGAGTGCGCACCCCGACGAGCGAAGACCTCCAGCAGATGCGCCCGAGGCCTGCAAGGAGGGGGCCCAGCAGGGCAGGGCGGGCCAGAACGCGCCCAGAAGCCTTCCCAGTAGACGCCGTTTCTGGGGGTGGGAGGCCCAGAAACTGGCACCAACACCAGCACAGGGGGCTGCCTCCACAGGGGGAAGCTGATCCTCGATGTCGGTGTTGGTGGTAATATATCGGTCACCTTGGAAGCCAGAATCATATTACCACCATCGCCGAGATCGGGATCCTCTTCCCTCGGTGGAGGAACACCGCCGAGATTGGTGTGGGTGTCAACCTCTGGGCCTGCGATGGGGGTCCGGGTGGCCCTTCGTCCCTTGACGCCCCCCCCCTCTGACGCTGCCCTTGGCAATGGGCCCCCACCCCGTCCATGGAGCAGGGACCGACCATCCCGGTATTCCCATAGGCCTACCACAAAACTTTCTGAGATCCAACACGTGTTATATGTATAAGAACGAAGACAATGTTCGAATAACACTATCACGACGTGTTTCGGCAATATAATCTCGGCCAGAAATCTTCCAAGAGCATTTCGTGCAGACCACAGTTGTGTAGAACGTTCATGCAGTTCAAGCGGCCTTCAGGCAAGCCAGGACGCTTCGCCACTGCTGGAGTCCAAGAGCCGGGGTGGATCACGGAAGGTTGCACGGCATCCCGAGCGCTCCGGAGGGCCACGCGCAGCCTTGAAACACTGGCGCGCGGTCTCCCCGCTCTCGTGCCGCGGTCGGTGGGCCGCCCTGCACGGGGGGGCCAAGATCGAGGAGATCGAGAGGCAACGGGCAGAACCCACACCCCCTGATGTCGAGAAACATCCCGATAAACGTGCGCCTTCGTCGTCGTCGTCGTCGTCGTATTATTCGTCTTTCCCTTCTTCTTCTTCTCCTCCTTCTCCTTCTCCTTCTTCTCCTTCTCCTCCTTCTCCTCCTCCTTCTCCTCCTTCTCCTCCTCCTCCTCCTCCTTCTCCTTCTCCTCCTTCTCCTCCTTCTCCTTCTCCTGCTTCCTGCTGTGGTTGTCGGCCCCCGGTGGCCCTCCGCGGGCCCTGGGCCCATCCGAGCACGACTCGGGATGAAAGGCCCGTCCTGGGTAATGGAGGAGGAGGAGGTGGAGGAGGAGGAGGAGGAGGAGGAGCAGCAAGAAATGGAGGAGGAGGAGGAGGATGAGGAGGACGAGGAGGAGAAGGGTCAAGACGTCCGCGGGTCCGCGCTGCGAGCAATCCCCCTCCCCACTCCCCTCCCGCTTCCCCCTCGATCGTCCTCCGTTCCTCCCCCCCTCCCATTCCCGCCAAGTCCGTCGACAGGGCGTGGCAAACTCCTGTCGACCGCGACGAGAACTGTCTGCCGCTCTCCCCCACAGGCCCCGTCCTCGGCACGGCCCCCGATCGAAACAGTGCGGTGGGCCTGTTTTCCACTGCCGCCACCAGAAGTGGGAGGGGGAGGGGGTCCTCCTCCTCCTCCTCCTCCTTCTCCTCCTCCTCCTCCTCCTCCTCCTCCTCCTCCTCCATTTCTTGCTCCTCCTCCTCCTCATCATCATCATCCTCCTCCACCTCCTTCCCCCCTCCTCTTCATCCTCCCCCTCCTTCCCCCAACTTCTGGTGGTGGCGGTGGGAAACGGGCCCATCGGCTGGGGGCACGGGCCCCGCCGATCGATCCGCAGATGACGCGGCCGCCGGCGCGCCCCCCCTGGGGAAGAGAGGGGCCGGAGGAGCGCCAGCCCCGAGGCAGCGGGCGGCTCCCCGGAGATCCTGGGCCACACGCAGCGGGGGACCTGGAGGAGGAGGAGGAGGAGGAGGAGGAGGAGGAGGAGGAGGAGGAGGAGGAGGAGGAGGAGAGGAGGAGGAGGAGGAGGAGGCGGGGAGGAGGAGGGAGGAGGAGGGGGAGGGGGAGGAGGGGAGGAGGAGGAGGAGGAGCAGGAGGAGGAGGAGGGAGGAGGAGGAGGAGGAGGAGGAGGAGGAGGAAGCAGATGGGTTTCGCTCCGTCGTCGCCCTCGCTCCAGCCTCCCGCCTCCTCCTCACCTCTCACCCGGCAAGGGTGACCTTTCGTGCGTGGAGTACGGTGGAGGTTCTAGAGCAGGATGCCTTCGAGAAGGAACGAAGGGTCTCGCGACCGATGGGCGGCCAAACGCGGGCCACCCACCTCGCCTTGAAACAAGAAGGAATGCGCCAGGGTCTGGGCCCCAGGAAGACGGGCAAGAGTGACCTTTGGTGCGTGGAGTACGGTGAGGGCACTGGATAAGGAACCGTTGGATAAGGAATCCAGGGTCTGGAAGACAAGGGAACGCCACACGTGCATTGGCCATGGATATCGTCGCCTCTAAATCAGACAAGGAATCCTCCAGGGTCTGAGTCCCCCTGGGGGCATATTCCTTAGCCTGTATACCCTCGCCGCATGGGTGATCAAGGTGGCAAGGTGGCCAAGTCCAAGCGCGCAATTCATGGCGCGACTTCGTCCTAACGTCGGATCTCAGGGTCTCCCGCCGGGCCAAGGCTGGGGAAACAACAAGGTACCGATACCGGTGCTCCCCGGACCTCTCCTGGGGTGCGTTCTGACCAGGATGTCGAGGCGAATCCAGCGGTGGCGACGAGGGCATCTCAGGAGGCCGAAAGAGGGAGCAACTGGGGAAGGGTAGCGGTATGGGGTAACTTTTTTCTCCTCCGACAGGCCCGCTCAACATTCGCGCGCTGGCGCCTCCCGGGAACCGTCCTGGCCGTGGCGACGAGAGACGTCCAGGGGGCCCCCCGAGTAGCTCTTCGTCGGGGCGGGCACCGGGCTGCGGCGACGGGAGGCCTCCTGTGAGGCCCCGAGGAGAGGGCACGAACAGCGTCAGAGGGATGGTCGGCGTTGTCTGGGTTGGCCTTGTGGGTGCCATGACAAAGGACATTCTAACAATCCTGTCATTGAATTAAACCTGTGTCTAAACTGTGTAAAACATGTTCTCAAAACGTTTCAAACCTGCTTTTACATATATATATATATATACAACATGTTTGAAACATGTTTTAAACATCTGGGAATTACTTGGCAGCACGCCTCCTCTCCATTAACCGACTTCCACAAGCCTTCTCAGAAGGCGGCGGGACTTCTTAGAACCCCTCCAGCCTTCCGAGGAGTACTCCGCGTCTCCGGGCCAGGCCCAAAAAACTTCTCCGAAGGCGGGGGACTTCCGAGACTTCTGAGAAGGCCCGCCCCTTTTCGCGTCCCCAGGTGCTCGCCGCTGAGAAGAGGAGGCCGAGCCACTCCGTGCGGACGTCACCTTGTTTCTTTGTTGGCCACGTCGCCAAAGCAGCTTCTGTTTCCAGACGCCCCGATCACATGTCGTATAAGTCCCTTCCCTCTTTCCCCCCCTCGGTCGCCGCCGAAGAAAGTCTTCAAGGGCTTCATTCGGCCTCTGCTGTCCCGCGGCTCGCGCCGGAGCTTCCACGGTGTCTGCGGCATTCTGCCGAAAAGCATCTCCGGTTGGCGGCGAGCGCGGGGGGGAAGTGAAAAGGGGGCGGGCCTTCTCGGAAGGCCCAGAAGTCCCCCGGCCTCCTGAGAAGTTTCCTTAACCTTCCCCGAAGGCTCGCGACTGGCCCCCCCCTTCTGAGAAAAGAAACAGAAGAAAGGACAAACGGCAGAACAGGCAAATTTCTGGAGCGTGCTCAGCTTGTCGCGCCAGAAAGTCGGGATATATATATATATATATATATACATACATTATACATACTAGAACCATCGCGCGCTTCGCGCGCGCTCAAGTTCTATCTAGGCTTGATGGGCTAACTCATGGAATCTTCCTGTGGTCGTCTCTTGCATTCAAGGACTCTCTGTGAGGCCCTGCGCAAGCCTCGGAATCCTATAGAAGGGGAGCTGCGGAAACGCAGAAATCATACATTCCCGTTAGGTTTCAACGATTTGGGGCTCTTAAAGGCTGCCTAGGTTCTTTTCTGGGAGCTGAAGGGACCCTGAACTGTGGCCTGTTGTGCAAGAGTAGACAGGGGGCGAACTTGTAACAAAAAGTGGGGGATTGTTCCTTTTTCAAGTTGCCGTGCCTGGGCTGTGGGTTCGAAGTTGCCTGGATGCAGGCAACGGTCTGTTGGGACGCCTTTTCGTGGTCTTCGTGAAAAAAAGCAGGGGGGAGTGTCAACAAATTCTAAACTTCCTTTCTTCAAATTCATGGGGTGATGAAATCTAAATTTCTACGGTGGTTTCAGGAGCAGCCAAGAGGACACGAAGAAGACACAAGAAAGTGCCAAGGCAGCTCCAAGAAGTTCGGCAGTATTCCCAAACACTTGCATGTGACCCCGAAGTCTTGCTGGGGCTCGAGGAAGAGGATCGGGAGTATGAATCCCAACTTGAAAACAAAGTGAATATCTGGAATTATTGCTCTTTGTTTCTAGCCCTCCTGTATTGGGTGCTCTTTTTGAATAGAGCACTGCATTGCCCCACCTCATTCTCCTCCTTCCCTTCCTCCTCCTCCTCCTCCTCCTCCTCCTCCTCCTCCTCCTCTTCCCCGTCCTCCTCCACCTCCTCCTCCTCCTCGTCTTTCCTCCCTCCAGTCTCCTCCTCCTCGTTTTCTTTCTCCTCCTCCCTGCCTCGTGACCTCGCCGTCCCCTGGAGGACTGCGATCTGCGAAACTGTCGCCACTTTCGTGGGCGTCGGAGAAGGCCAGCGGAGGCACGTCATACGCGGGCCATACGCGGATCACCACGAGACCTCGCCGTCCCCTGGGGGGGTTGCAATCTGCGAAACTGTCGCCACTGTCGTGGGCTTCTGGAAGGCCCAGCAAAAGCACGTCATACGTGGATCATCCCGAAACCTCGCCGTGCCCTGGGGGGTTGCTACCTGTGAAACTGTCGCCACTCTCTTTGGCCTCTGCGAAGCCCGACAACGTATGTCATACGCGGATCACCACGAGACCTCGCCGTCCTGGGGGGCAGCGATCTGCGAAACTGTCGCCAATGTCGCTGGTTTTTGGGAGGCCCAGCGGAAACACATCATACGCGGATTTCCGCGAGACCTCGCCGTCCCCTGGGGGGCAACGATCTGCGAACCTGTCACCACATTCGCAAGCTTCAGGGGAGCTCAGCGGGGGTACGTCATACGCGGGTCGCCACGGGACCTCCCCGTCCCCTAGGGGGGCTGCAATCTGCGAAAGTGTCGCCACGTTCGTGGGCTTCTGGCAGGCCCAGCAGGAGGTACGTCATACGCGGATCATCCCGAGACCTCGCCGTCTCTTGGGAGGCTGGCGATCTGCGAAACTGCCGCCACTTTCGTTAGCTTCTGGGAGGCCCAGCGGAGACACGTCATATGCGGATCACCACGAGACCTCGCCGTCCCCTGGGGGGGCAGCGATCTTCGGTACTGTCGCCACTTTTGCTGGCTTCTGGGAGGCCCAGCGGAGGCACGGCATACGCGGATCACTACGAGACCTCGCCGTCCCCTGGGGGGCAGAGATCTGCGAAACTGTCACCAGTTTCGTTGGCTTCTGGGAGGCCCAGCAGGAGGTACGTCATACGCGGATCATCCCGAGACCTCGCCGTCCCCTGGGAGGCTGCGATCTGCGAAACCGTCGTCATTGTCGTGGGCTTCTGGGACGCCCAGCGGAGGCACGTCATATGCGGATCACCACGAGGCCTCGCCGTCCCCTGGGGGGGCTGCGGTCTGCGAAACTGTCGCCACTTTCGTTGGCTTCTGGGAGGCCCAGCGGAGGTAACTCCTATGCGGATCACCCCGAGAC